GCACCACCATGCCCAGCTAATTTTTTGTAGTTTTAGTAGAGACGGGGTTTCACCATGTTGACCAGGATGGTCTCGATCTCTTGACCTCGTGATCCACCCGCCTCGGCCTCCCAAAGTGCTGGGATTACAGGCTTGAGCCACCGCGCCCGGCCGTTTCTGTTTTTTTTTTTTAACGTCATTAACTTGTGTGAGCTGATCTGAAATTAGAAGAATGATTTTTGTAAAATTTGGTAGTGCATACAAATTTTAGATGTAAGTTCACAATGTGTGTATTAAGCAATATTTTAGAACATTTTGTTTTCTTGCTTTAATTGGGGAATCCTATATAAGCTGTTTAGTTATTGTTCCTTTCACTTTTTATAATCAACATAATTGAGTTTACTGATTTTAGCAATTTGTTCAAGTAAGTACTGGGTACACTTTATAAGTCATGAGGATGTTTTGATATGTAATTGTAGTGAACAAACATAAGAAAGTGATGGATGTGTAATAGATGCTCCATAATTAGGCAGAAATATTTTTCTGCAGTTTATTTGTAGGTCCAAGTAAGAGATTGAAAATATCTACGGTGAAGAATTAATTCTGCATGTTAAGAGGACATCTGTTCCCAGACTGTAAAAATGACTCATTCTGAATTTAAAGATTTCTGTTTTTATATTCTAATTATCTTTAGTTTTTGGTGTCTTTATGTGTTCATCCTCAGCTTTTTGTACCTCCCAGCCCTTCTGATTTGTGTTATGGCTACAGTTTTTTCACTGTTCTCTTCATGTCATGTAATTTCATGTGGATTTTCTAGGTTCTCATGAAATGATTGGTTTTTTTAATGTGGTAAATTATTGTGTTTAACTGGCGTGTCTGAGGGTATTTATAGCTGGTCAGTGCAACATTTAGATCGCTACAAATTAATTTACTGTTCACATGTCAGAGGATTAAGTCAGTCAGCATTGTTTTTCTCTGCAAAAGAAAAATGTTATGAGATTCTAAACAAAGTGTTCAATGAAACATAAGCTAGAATAGGTAAGGCATTAATATGAGTGGGTGTCACATTGTAAGCATCATATGAAGAAACTCATCTGAATTTTGAAATCTCTTAGAAGAAAATATGTATTAGAAATAAACTTCCCGGAGACTTGGTGATAGGTGAAAAATTTTACATAAATTTTCCATAACATAGCAAAACTAACTTTTTTATGCAGAATAATCTATATTCTATATTTATTGTATAGCATATACTGTACATAGTGACTATGGTCACCATGCTGTGCAATAAATTTTCTGAACCTACTCCTAACCAACTGTAATTATGTATTATTTTACAGACGTCTCTCCAAATGCCTCTTTTTTCTAAATAGCCAAGTATCTGGTAATCAGCATTTTACTGTCTGCCTTACTTCACTTAGCATTATATCCTCAAAATTCATGTTTCAAATGTCAAGATTTTTTTTCCCTTTTATTGCTGAATAGTATTTAATTGTATATACTACATTTTTAAAATTTAAATATATAACCATTTGTTGAGAAACTCATAAAGAAGATACATTTGTGTTAAAGCATATATTAATGTAATTCCGAATGTAAAAATTTTTATTAATATTGCTAATTTGTTCCAAACACTAAACAAAGCTCTATGTATGTTAATAAATTTAATTCCCACAGTAGCTCAATAGCATATGTACTGTTATTATCCTAACTTTACAGAGAAAGGAACAGCCACAGAGAAAAATGACTTGCTTACATCGGAGCAAGTATTAAAACACAAGCAACTTTGACTTCAGAAATAACACTCTTCTTTTCTTTTCTTTTCTTTTCTTTTCTTTTCTTTCTTTTCTTTTTCTTTTTAAGACAGAGTTTCACTCTTGTCACCCAGGCTGGAGTGCAGTGGTGTGATCTTGGCTCACTGCAATCTCCGCCTTTCAGGTTCAAGTGATTCTCCCGCCTCAGCCTCCCAAGTAGCTGGGACTACAGGTATGTGCCACCATGCCCAGCTAATTTTGTATTTTTAGTAGAGATGGGGTTTCCATGTTGGCCAGGCTGGTCTAGAACTCCTAACCTCAGGTGATCTGCCCGCCTCAGCCTCCCAAAATGCTGGGATTATAGGCATGATCCACCACGTCCAACTGCACTTTTATCTATTACAGTAAACCATCTTCTCAAACAAAATAATTAACACCCATTCTTAGTAAAATTTCAACAAAAATGGAAACAACTGATACTTCTTTTGTTATGTGTGTGTGTAAATGTATAAAATATGATACGTAAAGAAGAAATACTTCCTCTATTTAACTATACTACATAAACTTGGGAACAACTTTTTTCAGCTGCCCTTCCCCACCCCTCCAGCAACTCAGAGTACTTACAGCATAATTTTAAACTATGATTTTATTACCAGCATAATTTTAAGCT